CACGCACGCACATCCCCACCCGCATGCACGCACGCAGGAGGCGAGCGGGGAGAGTGATGTGGCTCCTCTTGTCTGGGTTTCCTCCGGTTTTCTCTAGATTTGCGAGTCTTGTTCCCATTTCTCTGCGAGTTTTTCTGCGCGCTTTTTTCTTAGGCGCCGTGACGTCACATGCCGGGCCGCATTTACCGGGAGCTGGTGCAGACGATGTTTTCTTTTTCTTGGTAATCTTTGGGCGGCTTCTGGCAACTTGATTCCGGGTCGCAACTCAGTACTATCCTCCCGCTACGGGCCTCTCTCTTCCGCGCGGTCCCGGTGTTCTATGGCTTACCGACTGCTTTCACCGCCGACTTCTCTATGTTTCGGTTTCACATCTCTGTGCTCTCGACGTCTGCCAACTTGGATCGCGCGTCCAGCTTTCAATTTGATTACTCTCATTGGATATTGAGGCAATAATCCCATCCGGAACCGTTTGTGCAAGTGTCCTCTCGCTCTAATGTTGATAGACAACAATTGGAGCTGAAGGTGCTCCCGAATCCGATTCGTGACTTTCTGCGCGAGTCAATCCCCCACGTCTACCCATTTCAAAGCACTCTCTCCGTTCACATCGCCTTATGTGTTGATACAACCGTATTTTGACCCATCCTGTATCTTTCGGAATGTGTATTCTAATTTCTAGGTCCCTCTTCGGTGCTATTGATCTTGATGGCACTGTTAGCCTTTGCGTGAAAGACCCGAAGTCTCGTGCTTAGATTTTGCGGCACATTATCTGTCAATTCACCGCGTATTTCGGTTTTGTCGGATTTAATTGGAACGGGGCTCAAAATGTAGGATCCGCGCGCCGACAGTTATTGAGTTCCGTTTTTTTTTTCTTGATGCGCCATGCAGACGGATATTTATTTCTGTGTCCACTGAGAACTGTTCTTCGCTGGCCTGGCATGCAAATTGGTGCGTGTCATTTTTCTTCCCTTCATTGTCATGCAGACATTGATCCGGTCTCCGCTACTGTGTATAGTCTGGTTTACAATACATACCAGAATATCAACTTGATATCGATAGTTTTATACGCTGTACATCTTTGGGACTGGGGATAGATTTTCTAAAGATATACAACAATATTTGTTACTGGCAGTTTATTCTGTAATTTCGACGGAGGGGGTCTTGACAAGCTTCAAAATGATTAAAGACCTCCGCTTGTAACAGTAATAGTGGGAATAGAAGGAAATGCTGCACGATAGGTTGCATCTACTTTTTTCGTATGAAGGATGTGCAAGGATGCCAAAGTACAATGAGACCGTAAAATGAGCGCATTGACGTGGGGAATAGGGTCAAAAAGCCTTTCCGAGACCGTAAGATGTTGGAGAGCGGGAGTGATGAATACTTCCAGGAGCTTCTGGAGACTAAAGCCGCCTCCGAACTTCAGCGAGTGCAGGTGCCTCAGAGGCACCATGGGCATTACGTTCCTACGAGCGCCACCACGAAGAGCATCGCAGCAAAACTCCCGAAGGGCAGCGGAATGCTGTAAGATTTGGGTATATTCAGCTGGAGACAACCAGTTGACGGAAATACTCGTCAACTGCGACCACGGCAGCTGAATCTCGAACGGCCCAAAGTTGCCGGAAAGGGTGACCTGCTTTAAAAGCGGTGCATTACTGAACAGCGATATTGCATACAGTGAGTCGAACTTTTCTGCATAGCAGGTGGGGCCCAAAGTTAGGGAACGGAGTAAAGGGAAGTCCGCTCCAATCAATTGAAGTGATCGTATGGGCAGCATAAAGTCAATGTGTTCCCAGCGCTCAGAATGAGGTATGATGGCTTGAATAAAATCGACCTTGAGCTGCCAAGTGGAGCACTGCAGAGAAATTGATAGAGGGCAATCTTTGGAGCGTGATACCCAAGCTCTGAGTAAATCCAGTGCCTTGGTCGGAGACATCGTCGGAGGACACAATTTGATGGCTCGCCAGAGTCGCGGCGTGCTGAGCGCTATTTGCGCCACACCCAACAAATCTGGGTGAGTAATTCCGGGGAGGAGAGTCCAGTGGCCGGTGGGCATTGGGGGTAAGGTGGGAGGAAATGGACAAATATTTCCGACGTGATTTCGGTGGGAAGGGTAAGGATGGGATATTTGTATTTGTCGACATGTGTCTGCAGGTCCTCGGTGGTGAGCTCCAGTGCCACATCAAAGTCGGGTGTGCATTCCCGAATACTATCTGACCGGGTGGATCTCCCGTTTGCAGTGCTTTGATTCCGACTTCGCGTCGTATCAGAGAGCAGAGAGTCAAGATGATGAGGGTCGGTCATGAGTACTGAAGGTCCTGGAAAGAGTTTAGAGCTCAGTAGAGCAACTAATTGAGCTCCTACCTGTTCTTGTTCTTCGGCAAGTCGTGGCACAGGAGACAGTGGAGCAGGTCCCACGTGTTGCACATCAGTTTGGTTCCCATCTTCGATCCAAACAACGTGTCCTCCGAGCCCCTATTCCAGAGCCTAAGCGCGTTTGTTAAACTCGAGCCCATCCTGGTTTTTTCGCGCGCATTCTTTGCTGGCGGCGTAAGGTCACAAGACCGGATACGGGAGCAATATCGCGGAGCCGCTTCTGGGGAACATTTTGTTTACTGGCTTGTTACTGTCCGCATTTCTTGTCATGCCTTCTGGCGATGCCCATGGACATTCCAGCTCTGCACTCTTTTTTCTCTGGGCATCTTTTGTTTCACAACACTTGCCAAGTTCTGTATGCGGCCAAGTTGCTTCTTCGTGCTCTGGGTGTCCACCATAAGGGATGGTGCATCCAGACACTCAAAAATAAACTCAGATCTATCCTCGTGGACTTGGGCCCTTTTTTTTTGCAGAAAGGGATGATTCCTCTCGAAATATAAGATAAAATAAAATACAATGGCGAACAAAAAAAAATGAAGCCGAGATGTGGAGGTACAACTCAACAATTTATTTCCAGTTTTCCAAGCTCAAGAGTGAGTTAAAATTTCAACAATAGGCCCTTTGTCTGTCACTTCAGGTTTGTACTCTGACAATATGTGTACTAATGACGAACTACAAAAACAAATGACACAGTATTTGGTTATGACCTACCCCGAATTGAATGGGAACTTCCACCCACATCTCATTCAAATGAGAAGAATTCAGTGTGGACATGGAAGTCTCATTAGTAGTTCTCCCCTCGGATATTTCGCACTACCTGCCAGATCACCAAATCCTGATAAAAGATAAGCATTTGCGAGTGGGGTGGGGAGAAATTGAAATGAATTGATGAGAACCTAATCTCGGTTTGAAGAAGGGACTTCTACAACCCACAGCAGTACTAGCTCACGCCCCATGGACGTTACACCGGATTTCTCCATAGGTTTTGTCCTCTTTTCCTGCCTTTGGAAAATGTGATTGTTTCAGCCTTTCTATGTGTGGGTTGAATGAAAAGGAAATTACGACAGCAGAACCTCCAAGCTATTGCACTTCTGTGAGGGGTTAAAAAGCGAAGGGGAAGGGGCAATGACCTAATCTCGGTTCCAAAGAGGCCGAAAGGGTACCAACTATGGAAATAAGTGCAGTGGACGCGATGTCAATTTCATCATTAGGTCTTCCTCCCATGCCTCTTCAACTCAGCTTCCTGCGAAATTTCAAGTGAGCTGCAAGAACAAAAAGTAGTCTCATGAAGGACTCTTCCACAGGCAGTGGACACGAAGCCAGATTTTGCTATTAGATCTTGTTTCTCTAATTCCGAATCTGGAGTACTGCACAATTACGAGCGCTTCCACCGGGGCGAAAAAAAAGGCACGGATCTGCCCTCGCAACCTAACCTCGAGTCAAACGACATAGAAAATTTCTGTGTTCCCTCACGCGATGCCGACTTCGCTATTAGATCCTCCCTCCCATCCAGCTGAAGCTAAACTACAGTGTGAAATTATTCCGCACTTCGGGAGTGCGTTGAAAAAAAGCACATGGCAAATACCCACGACCTAACCTCGGATCGAAGAGGGACTTCCACACGACATTCATTCAAAGGACCCAAAAGCAAAAGGTGTGGACAGGCTGCTGACTTCGCTATTAGGTGTTCTTGCTATAATGGTACACTGCAGTTCATACTGCATTTTTCTGTGTAAGACAAAAGATAAAAAGAGCGATGTCAACTCTACGACCTAACCTTGGCTTGAACGGACTTCCCACCAATGGTACTTTCTAATTGACACCTGGGCCAGGTACAATGGACGCAATACCAATTTTGCTATTAGGTCTTCCTGCTCTCCATTTGCAACCCTCGTATACCGCAAAATTATGAGGGAGAAGAATAAAAAACTTTGCCAATCACATATTGACCTAACCTCGGTTCAAACGAGGGACTTCCGCATGAACCAAATCCGTCATACTTCAATGGCAGTGGATGCGATCCCAATTCCGCATTTGAATTCGAACCTTCGCTTATTAGGAGATTATTTCTTTTAACAAAAACTCCAAGAGGCACTGCACTGGTCATGACCTCCGTTCGAACGAGGGACTTCCACAAGACAATGATAGCGTTTGCAGTGGATGCGATACCAAATTTCACTATTAAGTCTTGTTCTATTTCTGAACCTCCACTTGGTATGAAATTATTTTTGTGCTGAGTAAAAAAAAAGAATCTTGGAGCAAGTGGCCATGACCTAACCTCGGTTCGAACGAGGGACTTACACATGACGAAATATTCACGGGCTAATTGGAGTGGACGCAATGCCGATTTCGCTATTAGGTCTTCCTACCCATTAATCGAACCTAGTGCGGAATTATTTCGCAGTTTTGTGTGGGTTGAATTAAAAAGGGATGTCGGAACACTACCATGACCTAACCTCGATTCGAATGAGGGACTTCCACATGAAGGCCATTAATAGCTTTCTCTAAGCAGAGTGGATGCGATGGCAATTTTGCAATTATGTCTTCTTGGTGCAATTCTGCACCTGGTTTACTGCCGTATTTTCCTCCAGCACTTGGTGGGAGGTTAAAAAAAAGCGGTGGCTGAGGTAGGACCTAACCTCGATTCGAACGAGGGACTTCCACATAATGCAATGGCGGGTAACATTATTACATCTGAATGGGGAGTGGATGCGATGCCGATTTCGCTATTAGGTCTTATTCCCCTCTAGTTTGAACCAAAAGTAATGGGAAATTATTTCTGGATAAAAAAACACGGTATTGGGAGATGACCTAACCTCAGCCTTCCACTTCACCTCTTGTCCAACAATAACTGAGGTGGATGCGATACCAATTTCGCTATCAGGTCTTCCTCCCCTTTACTTGTCCTTGGATAGGTATGTGATTGCTTTGGGATTTATATGCTGCATAATATGAAAAAAAATTGGCAGGAATCCCGGACAATGACCTAACCTCGGCTCGAACGAGGGACTTCCACCGAAATGATACAGGCACGCCGGGACAGGTGCAGTGGATGCGATGCCAATTTCGCTATTAGGTCTTCCTCCTCTTTACCTGTCCTTCAATTATTCTGGGCTTTTGGGTGGGGTGCCAAATAAAAACCATCAAGTTCGTGCACAGGACCTAACCTCGGGTCGAACGAGGGACTTCCACATAGGCCAGGGACGAGTCACAAGTGCAGTGGGTGCGATGCCATTTTCGCTATTAGGTCTTCCTGCCCCTTACCTGCCCTTGGTAAGGTGTCACGGTGTATGTGATCATCTCGGGTTTTGTGAGCAGGAAAGAAAGAAAAAAGTACTAGAGTCCAAGAATATGATCGAACGAGGGACTCGCACATAACGATGCGCAGTTCAAAGGAGAGTGAATACGATACCAATTTCGCTACTGCGAATTTTTTTGGACACTTGATTGTGGTTAAAAAACGGAGGCGCCAGAAATAGGATCTAACCTCGAGTCGAACGAGGAACTTCCACAAAAACCGTGCTTGATACCGAAATATTTGGGGCTTCTGTGAGGGGGCGAGTAAAAAAAGCATACCATGAATACCACAAGGCAAGGACCTAACCTCGGTTCAAACGAGGGACTTCTATAGAAACCCATTGGGGAGCAGAAATCCCGGCAATAGTGGATGCGATACCGACTTCGCTATTAGGTCTTCCTCCTATAAACCCGAATCTTGCTTGATACCGGACTATTTCAGACTTTTGGGTGGGTTGAATGAAAAAGAAAGAAAAAGTCCAGGATAAAGCGAACGCACGACCTAGCCACGATTTGAACGAGAGCCTTCCACACAAGCGTCTGTCAAGTGCATTGGACGCAATTCCAATTTCACTATAAGGTCTTGTAAGCACAATTCGGGACTTGGGGTTGTGTGCTGGATTATTTAGCGCAGTATTTGGGAAAGAGGGGCGTGCACACGGTAGTAGAGCCCAAAAAGAGCCTGAGGTGTCAGCGCAGTAAGTACGAGTGCAGGTGCATTTATCGTCCGAGTGATAGCGCAAGCAAGTATAGCCGACGAGGACGGCCGGCGGAGCTGACTAATCCTGCCGCCAAACCTTGCACCCTCTATGACGGCGCCGACCGATATCAGGATGGAGCAGGGCCTTGACAACGCTTACCGCAGGACGGGCTCATGAAGAAGGTGAGCGCATTGGACGTATTCTTTCTGGCGACTCGGTGGGCTGCGTTCTTGCGACTGATGGACCTGCGCTTTGTCCTTCAGCGCCTGCGTTGTATCTATCCGACGGTGTCGTCTGGGTCCGCGTCCTTCCCCAGTCCTATCGAACACCCTGCCACCCTCGTTGTATCTCGCTTCCATCGCACGCTTGCCTCCTTTCCCTTACCATCCACTCCACATCTGGCGGCGATCTCCCGTCCTTCCCTCCCTCCCCTTTGTTCCTCCTTTTCAATATCTATTTTTCTTCGCACAACTAATCACCAACCCGCAGACATTCTCCCTCACCACCGCCAGTCTCCTACTACAAGATCGCCGACGTTGAGTCCGGCCGCCTGACCCCCGTCTTTCGCGCCGCTGGTGCTCTTCACCACCACCACACCACGACGCCCGTCTTGATAGCGAAATTCTCCCAATATATTCATTCATCCTTCCCTTGTGAATCGTTTCCTGCGCCGCACCCCCGTCCACCCCTTACTCGTCTGCTCTTCCTTTCGCTCGCATACCCTCTTTTTCATCTTCCTGCCCAAGTATACGCGCTTGCTCTCCTTTCTTCCCACTCCGCTCCCCATCCACCCATTCCCGACCCGCCCCTCCTCTTGCGCCGTACCCCTTCCTCTCCCACTCACTCCTTCCCCGCGTCCTCCCCCGCGTTCCTTTGCTCCTCGTCCCTGTCCTTCCCCTCCATTCCCTCCCCTCGCACCCGTTCGGTCTTTCTTACTTCTGTCGCCCCTCGTACCGTACTTTCCCATCTTCTGTCCCCGTTCCATCCTCTCACTCCCTCCCTCCATTTTCCCGTGGTCCTCCCCGTCCGTCTTTCCTCTCCCCTCTTCACGCTCGTCGTCTCCGTACCCTACTTACATCATCAATCAATTATTGTCTCAATACCTCAATTATCCCCCCGTGCCGATTCCTGCCTGCATATACCTCCCCCCCCGCGTCACGTCCGCTTGGGCATGCGCATACGCCTTCACCCCTTTCTTCTTCCTCCCGTCTATACCACGTTCCTTCCTTCCGACGCACGGTCCGCCCTCGCTCGCATCGCGCGCTCTTCCATTCTTCGTCACCTTTTCTGTTCTTCCCGCTCCACCCCCTTGCATACCGCATCCGCCGCAGCCGTCCCTATGTCATTCCTCCGCCCCTCTCGCGCCCGCGCTTGTCCATCGTCTCCTTTTTCTTTGTTTCTACCCTCACCCCCCACCCCGTTCGCCTCGGCGCATTTTTTGGAGCGTTGCGCGTGCGTGCCCTTCTCTCCCTTTCGCCCTCTGCGCATCGCACACACATGCGCTGCACGTCCATCCTCCGTCTCCTTTCCCTTTCCTTCCACTCCATCCCCTCGTTTTCATATCCACATCGCCGTCTTATCCGCCGCCGTTCCTGGCGCGCAGGCATCCTCTCCCCGCCCTGCCACTCCCCCGTTCGTGTCTTCCCATCCCCCCCTTCTCCCATGCGCTCCCTCTTTACCTTCACCTTCCTCCGTTTTCGCTTCTACCTGGCCTCCTCCCCCACGCCCTACTAACGCCCCTCCCCCGCAGCTACCCCCCCCAAAATGGAGATCGGCGTCGTATCACTCGCTACCGCGGCGAGGCGGACGAGGTGCTCACCGCGGGCATCGGGGCTCGCGGGCGTGCCACAGAAGGCGAAGGGTGTGGCGGGCAGGGCGGTGCGTGTGCCCTCAAGGGACGGGAGCGGAATGGTTGCAGGCGGGGGTGGGGCGCGGAAGGGTGTGCGAAGCGCGGGGAAGAGGAGGCGGCGGCGGGTGAGGATTGTGAGGGCGACGACAACGATAATGCGGATGGGGAGCAGTGGCGGGGGGTGCGAGTGCGAGCGGGGGCGGGAGCAGCGCGACGCCGACGCCCAGCGTGAACGCGAATCTATGGCGCGACGTGGACCGCGGACCGGCGGCTCTTCGACGCCGGTAGCGCGCATAGGCAGCTTCGGGCCCGCGTCGTCGTTCGCCAGCGCGCGCGCGGGGCCAGCGTCGTTGTTCGGTAGCGCGTCCGCATCGCCGCCGCCACCTGCGTCTGGATCGCCTCCGTCTGGATCTGCTACGGCGGCACTGACACCGGCGCCGACCCATACAGCAGCACCGACAGCACAGCGGGGGTGCGGGCAGGGGCTGGCGGCGGCGGCGGCGGCGGCGTACGCGGAGTGAGGGCGCAGGCACAGACACCGCATATCGGTGCGGTGCAGGCGCTGTACGATGGCGCGGGGTGCAGACGCTATATATCGGCGGGGCGCAGACTCCACATACCAGCAGGGCGCAGACGCCGTACAAAGTCGCAGGCCCGGGCGGCTATGGGGAGGGGGGTGTGGGTGCAGGTGCGGACGGGGGTGGGGGGCAGGAGCAGCAAGGCCAGTCAAGCCAACGGCAGGGATACACGCCGGTGGCGCCGTTTATGGGCCATACACGCACGGCTAACGCACGGCGCAAATTCACAAGCGAATTCTTTGACTCGTCTGCATGCGCACGCAGGAGGCGAGCGGGGAGAGTGGTGTGTCTGGGTTTTTCTCCGGTTCCTCTAGTTCTGCGAGTCTTGTTCCCGTTTGTCTGCAAGTCTTCTGCGCGCTTTTTTCTTAGGCGCCGTGACGTCACAATCCGGGCCGCATTTACCGGGAGCTGTTGTGGGCGATTTTTTTCTTTTTCCTGGTCATATTTTAGGGCGGCTTCTGGCAACTTGATTCCGGGTTGCAAATCGCCACTATCCTCCCGCTACGGGTCTCTCTCTTCCGCGTGGTCCGGATGTTCTAATCGCGTACCGACCGCTTTCACCGCCGACTTCTCTACTTAACAGCGACTTGCTTCAATTTCACCTCTCGACGTCCACCAACTTGGATCGCCTCCCTCGCCGGATACCAAGGCAAATATATAGCGCTTTTCTTGCGTGATCTCTCGCCTGCGTATGGGCCTCGCTGCATACCGCTCCCGCCCGTGTCTTTCTTCGCGAGCCGGTCGGTCCACTATCGCTTCTGTCCACCTCAAAGCACTTTCTCTGTTCAAAGGCTGTTGATACCAACCGTATTTTGACCCGTACTGTTGTTCTTGTATCTTTTAATGTGTGTAGTCTACCTCTTCAATGCTATTAATCTTGACTACACCGTTGTCGTTTACGTGAAAAGGGCGCCAAGTGCTTTAACGCATCGCCATGCAGACGGATCAGTCATCTTTCCGCGTCCACTGAGTTGTTGTTTGACAAAGGTTGTTGATTTCTGTATTTTGACGTATCTTTTAATGGGTATAGTCTAGCTCCACCTTCAATGCTATGGATCTTGACTACACCGTTGTCATTTGCGTGAAAGGGGCTCCAAGTGCTTTAACGCATCGCCATACAGACCGATATTGCTTTCCGTGTCCACTGAGTTGTCCGATGGCCTGCGCCACTGACATACAAATTGGTGCGTTTTATTTTCTTTCCCTTTCGTCGTCATGCAGACATCCATTTGGTCTCCACTTACGGTGTCAGTATCCAACGATGTTAGATATTCGCGAATTTTGGAGACCTCATTTGGGACAACATTAGAATATCGACTTGATATCGATAGCTTTTTCGCTATACTGGTGAACATGTTTGTTCTAAAGATATACAACAATATTTGTTACTGGCATCTTATTCTGTAATTTCGACGGAGGGGACCTTGACAAGCTTCAAAATGATTAAAGACGTCCGCTTGTAACAGTATTAGGAATGGAGGGAAATGCTGCACGATAGGTCACTTCTGTAGGAATGAGACAACAAAGTGCGCGAGAGTTCTAGATAAGTATCACTCAGTCTTTGCGCACAACGGTAAGCGGAAGTCTATATATTCACCTAGATAAGTATAACTAGGTACGAGTCAGTTCTTGAGAAGTAAGTAAGTAAGTAAGAAAGAGAGTCGCTCACCTCAGTCTTCGCGCACAACGGTAAGCGGAAGTCTGAGGAGAGGCGACTCAAGTCTACTGAATATATACTCGATATGAGTGCCCGAATATAACTAAAAGGATATTTACGAGGACTTTAGTATAACTAGAAGGAAACAGGTAAAAATGCACATTTGACGGTAGTGCCCGTCTACTCTGCATATATTGTGGCGGGACAAGGTCCCGTCGAGCCTGCAGACCAAGATCGCCGTCTGCCAACAACTTCTGCTTTGAGTGCTTCAAGGATGCGGAAGGATACCAGAGCACAGTGAGACCGTAAAATGAGCGCATTGATGTGGGGAATGGCATCAAACTATGTACCGGTGGACATTAATAGCCACAGGTCAGTGCTGGTATATAGTATATACTGTCACACATCCATCTCCGGTGTTAGCCGAACCCTACCAGCGATCAACCGCAAACCGACCATTGCAGTTTGCATCATCCACCACTGAAGTCTACCAATTTCCACTGTAATTGAGGAATGTTTCTGAGTAATTGACTTATGCATTCAAATGAGTAGAATAATGCTGGGTGTACATGTCTTCCTTCTGTAAATCCAGCAAAGACCAGTTAAAACCAG